ATCATAGAATAGTTAGGGTTGGAAAGGACCTTAACATCATCAAGTTCCAACCCCCCCGACACGGGCAGGGACACCTCACACTAAACCATGCCACCCAAGGCTCTGTCCAACCTGGCCTTGAACAAAGCCAGGGATGGAGCATTCACAACTTCGCTGGGCAGCCCAGGCCAGTGCCTCACTACCCTAACAGGAAAGAACTTCTTCATTATATCCAATCTAAACTTCCCCTGTTTAAGTTTTAAGCCATTACCCCCTGCCCTATCACTACAGTCCCTAATGAATAGTCCCTCCCCAGCATCCTTATAGCCTCCCTTCAGATACTGGAAGGCTGGTATGAGGTCTCCACGCAGCCTTCTCTTCTCCAGGCTGAACAGCCCCAACTTTCTCAGCCTAAAATAATAAAAATCATCAAAGACTAGCAGAAACATCACAAAAAACTTATCAAATATCTTTAATTGTGTTTCTGAATTTGGAGGACTTAAGGAGAATGCATAGTTTCACTTCTTTTGGAAGAATTCAGTGGATTTGTTCCTGGAGCTTGACAGTATCAAGTTCCTGACAGTGTCAGTAACCTGACAGTACCAGGTTAAAATAAGGAGCAAGAATTACCCTAACTCCTGTTTCATTAGATCACCATCCTCATATTAGGAAGAAATTCTAGTATCTAACCTAAATCTCCCCTCTGACAGTTTAAAGCCATTCCCCCCACCCCATCCCTACAGGCCCTTGTAAAAAGTCCCTCTCCAGCTTTCTTATTGGCTGCTTTATATATTGGAAGCTGCTCTAAGATCTCCCAGAAGCCTTCCCTGCTCCAGGCTGAACAACCATATTTCTTCTTAATACATTTACCAATAAATTTTGTTTCCCTTTCTCTCCCCACCCATTTGTTCAGCCATAAAGCAAGCTCTCTAGGCTTCACTCCATGGCTACACCTCCATGGAACATAATTTGAGCTCATAGAACTCCAGAGCGTGCCGAGATATCCGTAGGCAGATATCTTAATTTCAGGTCTGAAAACAGTGCTAAATACCCTCCACATTACAGCTATTTAACCAAGAAGAAAACTGCCAGCAGCCTTTAAATACCTAATATGGTACTAAAAAGGAGAATTATAAATTGTATTAATTCCCTGTGTTGCTCAAGCAGATCTTGAAGCCTGCCCTGAGCTCTACCTCACTCCAGAAAGACTGTTGTTGGTGCTGGTGCAGTTTAAGCACACCTTCTGCATTTCTCCTTAGAAAGCATTCTGCCTGCGAAGGAGTAAGATTCACCACTCATGATTACAGCTGCTCAGTCTACATCACTGAAACTATTAAAGGACCTCCTTCAGGCCAAAGAATCATGCTTACAACAGAAAGCCAAACTAATTTTCCAAACAAGCAATCAATATTATTTGCTTTTATTTACACATCCTAACTGAGGTTTTATAAAAGCTCTCCCACTTTCCTCTGCTACAAAGCAACAAAAGTTTACTGGAACAGGCACAGGAAAAAAAGCTTAACTACATGAAAAATGATTGTTAACATAGAATTTTTTTGTGAGCTTAGTATTATTAAAAACACTTTACAGCTTCCAAACAGATGATGAAGTGTAAATACACTGGTGAGTTCTACTACCAGCTAAACGTTTAGGTGAGATGGTGCATGTACTGCTTGCTGATCCATATCATGTGTGTCTCCAGCTTTGACACTGCTTGTTGGCTAATACAAGAGTATTCTCCTTTTTTTTTTTCATTAGAAAGGCTGTAAACAGTAACTTTTTTTTTTAAAATATAGAATATACATTTAATTAGCAAGATACTGTATCAGAGAGATGAAAAGAGCTGTTTTTCTGTAAACAAGCAATAAGGAATAATGTGAAAAACGGACTTTTCCCCCGAGGGAGCAGGAGGGAGAACCAGAAAGCAGCCCAGCAAATGAGCTGGGTTCAGCCTTCCTAGCACAAAATGAGTGAGCTCACTCATTTTCCCTTTTTGCTCTTCCTGCTGAGGGCATAGAAAGCCAAGCTCCTTCATGCCGCTTCGTTTACATCCATGCCAAAGTCGTGGCAGGTCAGAGACGACTGTTAAAACTAACTCGCTGTGTGGAATCTGCCGGACGGCCCCCAGGCAGACAAGACAGCCCGGGGACCCTCCGCCGAGCCCACGGTTTCTAGTACGGGCACGGCACCGATTCCCCGCCGGCGTTCCGGGCCCCCACACCCACCTTGCTGAGGCAGACGTCCACGGCGGGCTCCCGGAGGCGCACGGTGGCCTTGCCCTCCTCTACAAACCGGGTGAAGAACCGCTCGATGTTCTCCTGCAACTATGAGGCACAGTGGGCGTTCAGCAGCCGCGGCGGGACGAGGGTCGAGAGGGCCCGCCCCGCCCTCCGGTCCAGTCCCCCCCCACCGCCGCAGTTCCCACCTTGTAGCGAGCACCGACCCGGTCCCGCGCCGTACACACCATGAGGTAAACACCACCGCCCTGCGCCCGTCCGGGCGGGCGGCCGAGCGAGAGGAGCGCCCTGGTTCCGCGGCCACGACCCCGCAGCCCGCAGGTGGGCAGGAGCCGGCTGACCACCTCCACCTCGCACTGCAGCCGCATCACCGCCCGCCCCGCCGCCGACCAACGGCCCGCTCAGGGGCGGGCGGGAAGCGCCCCGCCACTCGGGGGCCTTCAGCACTGCCGGGCACAGGCGCCCGCCGTAATGCCTGGCTCCCGTGATCCCACCCTCCGCAGCCAGCCAGGGGCCGCAGGGCCGCCCGGCGGAAGAGCTCGCGGGGCGGGAAGGGAAGAGAGAGCAGTGTTACCGGCGGTACCGGCAGCGCGGGCAGCCCGAGAGAGGGGCCCTCAACGAGGAGCTCTGTGGCAGCGCCCCCTGGAGGAGGTCGGCTGGACTCGGCGGGAAGGGTCGAGGAACGGCGGGTGTGAGGGGACTGCGAGTGTGAGGGGACATGGGGGAGCTGAGGGGACACGGGAGAGCTGAGGGGACCGCGAGCGTGAGGGGACACGGGGGGAGCTGAGGGGACGGCAGGTGTAAGGGGACACAAGGGAGCACCCAAGCAGCCACTCTGGTCCCCGATGCCCCTGTGCTTGGTGAGCGTAGCACACTGCCTGCACTGGAGGAGCCCAGGCCAGAGGTGAGGAACACGGAATGGGGCAGGTGCTGGCCCAGCCTCAGTGGTGGGGTATGGCTGCTCAGCGGGGCAAGCAGCTCTGTGCTGCAGATCCAGCACCACAGCCAAATCTTTTGGGCAATTTCTACAATTGTATGGAATGGAAGAATACAAGTTTTTACAAGGAATCCTGTGTTTGTTAGTGAAGGTACCTGCTCTCCCAATGCTCCCTCTGAGGTTCTGCCTAGCACAGTGTCAGCAGAAATGGCCACCAGCGACAAAGCATCTCCTTAGCACCACTAAGAATGAGTTGTAGGCATTCAGAAACCAAGCTTGGGTAAAAAGCCATGTTCACCCACTGCAAGGTACAGTTGCTGTGTGTTTGACTGAGACGCCAGTGACACTCTGTGAGGCCTTATGACAAACTAATTGCCAAAATAATAGGGAAAAATTCAATAAAATGAAAAATTTGAAAAAAGAATTAGCAATGTGAAAGTGGTTTGGTAGAGGGCAGCTCGGGAATGTCCTCTTATAAAGCAGCCTTCCAGTACCTAAAGGGGCTGAAAGGAAAGCTGGAGAGGGGCTTTTGACAAGGGCATGTAGGAATGGAACAAGGGGGAATGTCTTTAAACTGACAGAGTTAGATTTAGGTCAGGTATTAGTAAGAAACTCTTCCCTTTGAGGCTGATGAGGCACTGGCATGGGTTGCCCAGAGAAGCTGTTGCTGCCCCATCCCTGGCAGTGTTCAAGGCCAGGCTGGATGGGGCTTGGAGCAACCTGGTCTAGTGAAAGGTCTCCCTGCCTGTGGGAGAGCTGTAATGAGACTGGAGGGCCTCTAAGGTCCTTTCCAACCCAAGCCATTCTGTGATGCTATGATCTCTGACAGTGAAATGGCAGCACCTGGGAAAAATTGCTCTGAGCTGGGGTACAGTAGAAACTGGGACAGTACCACTGAATTTGAGAGAACTGGCTCGAAGGCACTCTCCAGGTGGAAACTAACCTTCTGCATGCATGGAGGAGGCTATTTGCTGCAGGGTGGTAGCAGGCAAGGACGATGTGAGTGAGGACAGCAGCAGTGTGGTCTTACCTGGTCCCCTGCCCAACAGCATCAGTTCTCACTGCGGTAGCCAGCAATGGGGAAACAAAATAAAATCCATTAATGCTTTCAGTACTGGTTTCCTACAGTAATGTTGTTTAAGGACAAGGCTTAGGGTTTTAAACTTGCTTTGTCGTTGTTAGGAACCAACTATTTTTACCGGCATCAGAGCACACAAGCACAGAACGCCGCTGTGCTAGGCCGCCAGCAGGGGGCGATGCGCGCAGATGCCGTGGTGTTCCAGCAGGAGGCGGTAATGTGTCCCGTCCTCTAGTGTTGAAAAGGTGGTACCGCGGTGTTCCAGTAGGAGGCGGTGAGTGCCAGAGCCTTGTGTGCCGGTGCTGCAGCAGGAGGCGGTGTGTGCCGGGACCTTGTGTCCCATCAGGAACAAAATGCGGCTCTTGGGCGGTTCCTGAGGAGGGGATGCGCGTATGTCAAAAGGAACCCGCGTCTCTCTGTGTTGCCCAGGCTACGCTGCAGTGGCTATTCACAGGCGCGATCCCGCTACTGACCGGCACGGGAGCTTTGACCTGCTCCGTCTCCGACCTGGGCCGGTTCACCCCTCCTTAGTCAACCTGGTGTGCCCCAGCTCCCCGGGGCTCACCATATTGATGCCGGCCTTAGCGCGGACGCCCGCTCGGCATAGCGCACTGCAGCCCAGAACTCCTGGGCTCAAGCGATCCGGCGGGCTCAGCCTCCCGAGTAGCTGGGACTACAGGCGCGCGCCACCACGCCCGGCGCTTGTCAGAGCCGCGCTGCCTCCCCTAGACCCGCCACAGAATGACGTCAGGTGCGGAGGGCGGGGAAGCGGGCGCGCCGCGGTGCAGGGCGGGACGCCGGGCGGGGGTGGTCAGCGTGTGCGAGGGCCGCCATCTTTCTCTCTACGGAAGGAGCACGGCAGCAGCATGGGGCACCAGCAGCTCTATTGGAGCCATCCTAGGAAGTTCGGTCAGGGCTCCCGCTCCTGGTCAGTATGCACCCCGGAGGCTCTCCAGGGGGTTGTTGGTCTTCCTGGGGTTCTCTCACTCTTAATCTCCCTACCTCTCGCCGCCATTACTCCCCCCGACCGGCCTTGCTCTCTTGTTCCCTCGCAGCCGCGTGTGCTCTAACCGCCACGGCCTCATTCGCAAGTACGGGCTGAATATGTGCCGGCAGTGCTTCCGGCAGTACGCCAAGGACATCGGGTTTATCAAGGTAAGCGCCGGCAGCGGGTGCACCTCTCCTGTGAGGAATGGCTGAGAGAGGTGGAGTGCTGCAGCCTGGAGAAGAGGCAGCTACAGGGAAACCTTAGAGCAGCCTTTCAGTTCTTGAAAAGGGCCTGTAAGAAACACAGGGAGACACTTTTTAGCAGGGCCTGGTGTGATAGGGCAAGAGTAGTGGTTTTAGCCTAAAAGAGGAGAAATTCAGTCTGGGTGTGAGGAAGAAATCTTTTACAAAGAGGGTGTTGAAATACTGGCACTGGTTTCCCAGAGAGGTCATGGCGGCGCCATCAGGGCCAGGCTGGATGTGTTTTGTGGACAAGCTGACCTAGTTGAAGGTATCCCTGATCATTGCACGGGGCTTGGACTACATGAGTTTTTGTCATGGTTTAGACCCAGTCATCAACACGTAGCTGCTTGCACACATCTCCCTTTCCCCCACTTCCAGGCAGGATGGGGAGGAGAATTGAAAGAATGTAAACCCCTCGGGTTGAGGTAAGAAGTTTAAAAATGTAGTGATAATAGGAAATGCCAATAATAATAAGAAATGAGAAAAAATGAAAGCTCAGAAAATGCAAGTGATACATGGTACAACTGCTTAGCACCTGCTGACTGATACCCAGCCTGACCTGAGCAGCGATCGGTCCCTTCTGGGTAACTCCCTCCAGTTTATGTACTGGGAATGACCTGCTGCGGTATGGAACGCCCCCTTTGGCTGGTTTGGGTCAGGTTTAAAATCACTGTAATAGCTGAAATCGGGACACTTTTGAAGGTCCCTTCCAACCCAGACTGTTCTATGATTGTGCAGGAAGGTTGTGTGTACTCTTTTCCACTGACTCGTCTTGCCTTTCTCACTGTCTTGCAGCTGGACTGAGCATCAGGAGGATGAAGCTGTGGCCAGAAGCTCCCAGGGCTTCCCTGGACCTCCCTGACACATCTGCAGCAACTTCGCACAGCTGTGATCAATAAATAGTTTTTCCACCTGACTGATGGGTGTATGTTTGCCTTTTGTAAAGGTTCTGATGGCTGTGGGGCTTCTAATCCCTTAAAGTGGCCGTTTGGGGGGGGTGCTGCCCTGGGGCAGCTCTAAAGGAGCCTGCCATGCTGTCCTCAGTTAACCTACACAAACCTGGGTGGTCTTAAGAGTGCTGATGCTCATGAGTCTTCAGGCTTGTGAGTGGTGTAGTAGAATGGTCCTGTTAAAATGGTCAGGCATGAACGCCTTATGTAGAAACAGGTGTTGCAGCATGTCTGTTGTGCAGAACTGTACTTCAAGCTCTGTATGCATACCTGCTTCACTTGTTGAGAGGTTTATTGCTTCAGTGTGTTTTGAAAGTTACAATTGATATCAGATACGGGGGATTAATGTGATTGGAGCCACATCTCCCATTTCAGATGGAAGGAGGACCTCATTTCCTGAGGTCTCCAGCCACTTAAAGTTGTGGTGTAATAGATCTGAAGAGAGTTTGGTTTAAAAAAAAGCCATCAGTGTGCCAGAGGCCTGGAGTTAGGCTTTCCTTTTCTGTCCACAGGGATTAGAAGTGTCAGAGTGCTGTCCTGCTGTTGAGGTTAGTCACTGTGTGAGATTGCTGACTAGATGAACATTCCAGTGATTTCTGAAATGGCAAATGGGCTGGTCCCTTCCACCCTGTGTGCTCTGGATCTCATTTGGGAATTCCTAATTGCTTTTTTTTTTTTTTTTTGTCTCAGTGTTTACTGCATTAAACTGAACAATGGTGGTGAGGAGGTAATAGGGGGAGAACTCAGGTACTGGCCCAGAGGCTAGAGCATTTATTCTGAGGTGGTGAAGTCTTCCTCATGGTGCAGAGAGCACTGTCCCCTTGTCCTTGTTGAGCACCCAGATGAACTGAAGTGTGTGGATCCTGTTGTGGTTTCTGTGGTGAAATAGTTCCTGCTGGCATGAGCTCACCACTGAGCTGGCAGGCAGGCAGGCCTCGCATCACAGCTTTAGGCCTTCAAGTGAGCTTTAGTGTCAAACTTCTGTGAGGAACCTTGGCACGTGCAGCTGCCTGGTTATGTAGGGGTGGGGTGAGGAAGGCTAGGTCACAGCTGAAGCTGAACTAGGGAAGGGATGCAAAGAATACTAAGGGTTTCTGCAAGTGTGTCAGCTAGAAAGAGTAAGGTTTTAGTTTAGTTTAAAAGAGGGTTGATAAAGGCTAGATGTAAGGGAGAAATATTTTACCATGAGGGTGGTGAACCACTTGGCACAGGTTGCCCAGAGAGGTGATCCATGCTTCATCCCTGAAAATAGTCAAGGTCAGACTGGACAGAGCTCTGAGCAACCAGATCTCATTGATGGTGGGCAGGGGAGTTCGTCTAGATGACCTTTAAAGTCTCTTCCAACCCAAACTAGTCTGTGATCTGTGTGTTGTTTTTATCCTAAGAGCTGCTACCATGGCTTCATTGCAAGGGGACTAAACTCACAGCCAACTACAGGGAAGGAACAGAAAGTCCTGGGACATTTAAGATCAATTCATAGTTCAAGCCTGATACAAAGATAACTATGGTGATGTCTTGCTCAGAGGATTTCCGTCTTCCCATTGCCTGAGGCAATGCTGTTAGCCTGAACAGGTTTCTGCAAGAGTTTCTACATTCTAGCAATGCACCAGTTCTCACAAAGCCATGCAGACTGTTGTGGTGTGCTTGCGGTAGCCTGGGAGGATGACAGTAAGCAAGCAGTTCCTCTTGGAACCAAAGGCAGCCCTGGGTGGCTCAAAGGGATGCAGATCTGGGGTTGCCAGAGGAGCTCTGGCTGGTGCTGATTCAGGTTTGGTACTGGCCTGGGAAAGAGCTTTGCTGCTGCTGGAGGATGTTGTTGGGCCTCTCACTCTTTGAATAAGAAATGGTTAAATCTCTGGTTCCTATCTGGAAACTCCTCAGTGTAAAGGTAAGCTTCTACACTAAATAAATACTAATAAAAAGATTCAGTTCCTCTAGCAATTGTTTTTAGTTCTTCAGTTTCCACTGATGTACACAGGGAGGTGAATCCTTGGGGTGTGTTTGGCTTCAGCATGGTTCTGAGTGAGTCTCACTGAGAAAGCATAAGTCTTTTGTTATTAATTATTATCTGAAATTATGCTACAGTCAGAAAGATTTGTTACTTTTGCTGCTGGTTGCTCCTGATCCCCAGCAGGGAATGCAGAGCTGTGGTGCAAAAGCTGGTCTCAGCAGGTGATGTGAATGGCCATGAATGCTGCTGGGAGGCCGCAGAGGTAGAGGAGCTGGTGGCACTCATTTAAGCTGTTGTGTGGGCGCAGCATACTGACACCAGGGAGAAACCAGATGATTTGCACCAAGGGTTAGTGTTAAAGATGGTAGTTTCCAACACTTGAACTTGGTAAGCAGGCATGCTTCCTCTTACTGTGAAAGATGCTTCTCATTTTTACTCACACTCTTTTCAGATACCTTGTGATAAGGTAGTAGTGTAAGGATAAGTGACTGTAGTGTAAAATTTCACTGAAATACAGAATCAGCAAAGATGTGAAATGGGAGGGGAGGTTCTTTGCAGTTCTGTCCTTGGTTCAGCAGTAGCAGTCATTTTTCTCCTTCTTAGCTGGTGCAGCAGTGTTTTTTACTTTCAGCCTGGTAACAGAGCTGATAACACCAATGTTTTTAGTTACTGCTCAGTAATGTTTACTCTGACCAAGGACTTTGTGAGTCTCATGCTCTGCCAGGGAGGAGGGGAAGCCGGGAGGAAGTAGAGACAGGACACCTGACCCAAACTGTATTCCATACCACAGCACGTCATGCCCAGGATGTAACTGAGAGTTACTCGGAAGGGCTAGTTCACTGCTGGGTTGGACTAGGTATCAGTCGGTGCTCAGTTGGGCTGGGTATTGTCAGTCGGTGGGTGGTATTGTATTCTCTTCCCTTGTTATTTCCTTTATCACTACTATTATTGGGGTAGCAGTAGTGATTTGTGTTATACCTTAGTTACTAAACTGTTCTTATCCCAACCTGTGGGAGTTGCATTCTTTCGATTCTCCTTCCCATCCCTCCAGGAGTGGGGGGAGGGGGAAAGGGGAGCGAGAGAGAGACTGCATGGCTGATTTATGGCTGTCTGGGTTTAAACCACAACGAGTTCCCACTGCTGGAGTCTGCACAGAGCTGTGCTCAACTTGGCCTCCTACTACCCACAGGTGTGCTTGTGGCACTTCCTAATAGGAAATGTCTCTGTTCCTGTCACCACTCATGTCTTGGTGACAGGAGGATGCCCCCATGCTTGATACCAGCCTAAGATGTTTGAAATTAGCAGCAATGTTAGAATTATTTGGACACTCGGAGCTGCAAGACTCATTCAAGTCTGGCAGTGAGTTGTGGATATCTGTCCCCATTTCCTGAGCAAAGCTTCATTTCTGATGGTAAAATGGCTTTGAAGGCACCTTCTTTCTCATCCCTGTGTGTATGTTGCTGCCTGGCAGGGAGCTCTGCTGCTCTAAAGTAGCTGAGGATCTGGTCCCGAGAGCTAAGAGCCAGAGCACCTGTGTTACCTACATGGTGGGAAATAGTAACAATAAAAAAATCCCAAATAGTACCAAATAGCTGGGGATAGCAATTGAAATGCAGCTCCCTATTTGAAAGAAAAGCTAAAATATGTCTTTGAATTACCTTGTTCACATTAAAATACCTGAATTGTCACCTTGTAATTTTGCAAATGCTTTAAATGTTCCTGCTTTTCTTTATTCTATTGCTCCCATCTTGTAAGTCTAGTGGGAAGGTGGTGTAGTACAAACTGTAATGTCTTTTTACCTTATTGCTGCCTTAACTTGGTATTTATTGCCCAGTATACAATGAAGACTAGGTGCCAAAACCTTGAATTTCCTGAGCTCATTGTTAAAATTGCATTTTGTTTCTTTCTAAAGCTGATGGTTACAGTCTCTGAAGTTGCACAGATGTGAAGCTCTAACTTATTTGGAAGCAAAATGATTTGTAAAGAGCTGTTGATTCCCCTAAAGAACAGTTAAAATCAAAATACTCTTCAAGGACTTTGCATTAATGGTGAACAACTAATACATGTTTTCCTGTAGGGAAATAACATTGCCTACTTAGAGCCAAGTAAAAGATAGTGATGCCTTAGCATTCAAAGAGATGAAACTCTAATTGCTGAAATAGAGTTTACAGGGGATTTTGACTGTTGAAAAAACACTAAATTGCATTGGATTATGCACCAGATAAAATCTATGGTTCTCGGAGGCTCTAGGAGGAATTTGCAAGGCTATGGCTAAAACACTGGCTTTTAAACTGTTCCTTAGGCTAGAGAAATGAAGCTGTTTGACATGCTCAGATAGGAAAAAATTGTAAGCTCTGGCTGCACAGGTGCTGTGGAAGCCTGTGACTTGTGATGACCCTCCCTCCTGCATACAGAGGTGGTCTTTGACTCACTGAGATCTAGTTTATTGCAGTGGCGTGGCTTGTGGGACCAGGCTGGGGGTGATGCTCAGGCTGTTTTCCTACTTGCAGCATCTCAAGGTGAGTGCCAGGCCCAGCAAGGTGGATCCCCATCACCTGGATCAGGATCCTACTCTTCTGCCATAGGGGTTCAGTTCTCGAGCTGTGAAACTGTGGTAACACTTTCTGCAACATGAGATGTGTTGAAGCAGGGACAGCAACTTGTGGATATTCCCAGTATTGACATTATTGAATTCCTGCAAGGAGCAAGCTCCACCTGCGGTTGTTTGATGGCTGCTCCAGCATGTGTCAGCTGCAGGCAATGCTTGGAGCAGAGGACACTGAGCTTAAAGCTGTTTGTCACTCCATTCCCAAGATAAGAGAAAGGGACCTGGAGTATTTGGCTGTGGTTGCTTTGAGCAAGCACAGAGTGGGAGCTGCTGCTCCAAACACAGCTTTGAGTGCCTCTGATTCTTGTGTCTGCCAGATATTGGTCAAGTGGCACAAGGCTCAATCAGGAGAGATGCAAGGGGTGTCTGGTCCAGGTGTGGGAGGCGGTACAGCTACTGCCCATGTG